GATAATATTTGTGAAATTGAAATTTGGGATTGGAATGGTGATGAGCAGTTAGAATTTGGATTATCAGTTCTTAATAATTATTGCCTATTTTTTGATTCTTTCAAACAACAGATAGCATTTTCTCCTAGAAAGAAGAAGGCAATAAAGTGGTCTTACTGCAATATTAATTAATTTAATTAAATAAATAATTTAAAAAATTTGAAATAATTTTTAAAAGTTTATTTAAATGTTTATGAATGTTGATTTCCATTAAAGCTAATTAAAAGTATGTTCCAAACCAATATTTTTCCACACACATTAAAATTAAAATATAAAGAGTGACATTAAACAATGGTCTCCTTATTGGACATTCAATTCTCTTTCAAGTCCAATTCTTATGAAGCTCTAGGCTTCTATTTTTCAATGGGCCTCGATAATTTCAAAATTCTCGATCCCGAGTCCGTTTTTATTATTCTCTAATTTGATACAGAGTTTAAGTACGGATATTGATATTACTAAACTCTAACTATAACTCTTTTAGTTTTTATCAACTACCTTGATGAATTTTATTTTCAATATTTCAAAAATTATTTAAATAATTATGTAAATGGAAAGAAAAATAGCAAAAAAAGAAGAAAAATAGAAAAGAAATTTATATTTTAAATAATTTTATACTTTACATTTAGGTAGCACCCATCCCCTGAAACCCCGATCCCTGACACACCCGACACCGAAGGCTCGGGTTGCTACCCTACTTTAAATACAGTTGGTCCTCATTTTAGGATACTTGCAATAATAAAAATTTCTATTCAAGATAAGTTTTTTTCTAAATATGATTTGAGTCGAGTTTATTCACCACCCTTTCCCCTCTCCGGATGTATCTCATAAGGAGGACCGACTGTACCATTCCCCATGTAGTATTTCCCTTTTACATTTTTGAATTTAAAAAAAATTTTATTTCTTTATTTATGCCCAATCTTTAGTTGTTGTTGCACACTTCATTCATCTTAATCAACCATCATGATTATGATAATCAGGCGCGTGAGGATCTTGTTTGTGAATTATATCTCCTTTATGGTCATCTTGTTCGTATGAAGTTACAATTGCCCCCATAAACATTAAAATTAAGAAAATTTTAATTAAATTTTTTATTGAATAAAACATTTTTGTTGTTGTGCTTTAATTATTTGAATATTTTAAGTGAATGAAAATTTTTTAATGAAGATAGAAGAAATTGATGCCATTTAAATATGAAAATTTTTAATTATTTGGATAGAAGAAATCTCTTCACAATTACATCATACACATAAAAAAAGAATTATTTTCTTAACGTGTGCGGTTTATTGCTTAAGTCGGGTATTTAGCTGTTAGGAGATACCTGGCTAAGAGATACCTGGCTTAAATCCACGTGGATAATTTTATATTGATTCGTAGAATTTTTTAAAATAAAATTTGAAAAAATAAACACATGAAAAAAGGGAGTAATGTTTATTCAGTAAATATTTCAATGGAAAATTTCTATTTTAATACAATCACAGTTTGAAGACGTCACCCTCTGTAATGAATTGTACTGACGTAATAAGGAAGAGAAGTGTCAACGTGGAGAAGAAAAAGAAGTGTCAACGTGGAATCTTTGACAAAATATGCATTTTTATTAATTTTTATTTTAATTCAAATTAAAATTTAAAAAATTTTTATAGACAAGGGGAACCTTTTTAGGAACCTTCTTTTTAATTTAAGGGATTAGAACTTTCTTTTTCCAAGAAATTTTTTTATTATTCGCATGAAATTTTTTAGTCAGCTTTTTTGAAGTTTAAAAAAAGTTTTTTTTATTTCGTTTCGCCTGCAAAAAGTTTAAGTTTCATGGAGGTCTTTGTGGGGAGCAGGCCAACTTACCGCGAGCCCAACTTACCGCAGAGCTATAACTTCGTTCAGAATTGTCGAATCCGGGACGCCTTGGTATTGTTCAATGCAGCTCGACGAGCTGAATCGAACCATACCAGTTCTTCCCGGATTCGACAATTCTGAACGAAGTTATAGCTTTGCGGTAAGTCTTTAGGATCGAATATTTTGGGGTGTACCCGTCTTTAGGATCGAATATTGCTGTGCATGGTTGTCTTTTATTTGAAAATTTTTGGTGGTAGTTCGGTATGGTTCCTTGTGAGTATCTTTGTTTAATTAAAAAATTATTCTGTAAATATTGGCAAAATAATTTTAAAAAACCCAAATCATTATTCTTAGATTGGAATCCGAGCTTGGCGAAACTCAAATTTTTTAGGCGAAAAAAGATGAAACAAAATTTTTTAAAAATTGTTTGGTTAACATGGCGAAATTTTGGAAACAAAATAAATTTAGAGAAAAAAAATGTTTCGCATAAGTCTGGTAATAATCCAGATATTGTTCAACCTAAAATACAACCAGAATTGTCGTTTTTTATCTTTAAAAATTTTAACATTTTTAAAAAGTTTATGCCGTATTTAAATAATTAAATGAAATGAAAAAAACAGTAAAAGAAAATAAAATTAATAGAAGAAAGATTAAAATACCCAATTAAAATAATTATATTTTAATTACAGTCGCGGACTTCACTTAAAAATATTCCCCAAATATCACTTCATCTAAATTATGTTTTTTTTAATTTATTGGTTATTGAATGGAGTACTTACTGTCTAATCAACATTCACTACTAAAAGAAAATCTCTAGAGAGCGAGCTGGATCTGGATCCAGACCTTGATTTTTCCTGGATCCAGAGTCCGATCAATGCATTTTTCAGAGTTCCGTGATTTTTCCTTGACTTAAGGACAAGCTTCTGGTTAAGGTACACAACCGAAATCAAGGCCAAGGTCAAGGTTTTTTTGAAAATCTCGCTCTCTAAAAATCTCACTATCTGATATAATTTTTTAGTCCACTCTTATAGCGAGGTCCTGACTGTACATATTCCCCATGTAGTATTTCCCTTTGAAATTGTTAATTTAAAAAAATTTTTATTTCTTTATTTACGCCCAATCTTCAGTTGTTTTTGCACACTTTATTCTTCTTAATCAACTACCATGATTATGATAATCAGGCGCGTTAGGATCGCCTGGATGTTTATCTCCTTCATGGTCATTTTCTTCGTATGAAGTTACAATTGCCCCCATAAACATTAAAATTAAGAAAATTTTAATTAAATTTTTAAATGAAAAAAGCATTTTTGTTGTTGTGTTTTAATTATTTGAATATTTTAAATTAATAAAAAAAACTTTTTGGTTAATTATGATAGAAGAAAAATTGTTGGATTTTAAATATAAAGATTTTATTTTTAATTAGTTGGATAGAAAATATCCAACTAAAATTTTTATTTTGTATTTGCAAAAAATATATTTATTTCTATTTTAATTCATTTAGCATTAAAGATTAATTTTTAAAAGAATCTAGTATAATAATTGAAGAGACTTACCGCGAGCCCAACTTACCGCAGAGCTATAACTTCGTTCAGAATTGTCGAATCCGTGAAGACCTGGTATGGTTCGATTCAGCTCGTCGAGGCGCAACGAACCATACAAGGTCTTCCCGGATTCGACAATTCTAAAAGAAGTTCTATAACTTCGTAAGTTGGGCTCGCGGTAAGTTGGCCTGCTCCCGTATTAATTCGTACGATTTTAAAAATAAAAAAATTTTTCTAGAATATTCCAAATGAAAAAACGATATGTTTGTTCAGTATTTATTTTCATTGATTATTATTTTTTTGCAAAATATTTTTTATTATTTTTTAATTTAAATTAATCTAATGTGTATTAAAAAAATTTTTATAAGCAAATGTAACCGTAATCCTTTTAATTTAAGGGTTCGAATTAGAGACCGGACTGGGGGTGTTGAGGTCTATATCTCGAAAAATACCGACTCTATACCTAAGAGTTTGTTTTCTTCTTACTTTTTGTTCGAGATCTCGTCTCAGTTTCGAACCCTATTTTTCACAAATTTCAAAATTTGTCATTTTTGGGGATATTTACTAAATATTATTTGCTTGGCAAAACAAATTAAAATTTTTAAATAAATTTATTCAATAATAGGTAAATGAAATTAAATATTTAAACACAAAATTAGAAGAGTTAAGCAGCCAATCTTAAATAATAATACCAATAAGCAGCGTGAAAAGAAAAATAACTAAGCGGGAATGCCCAACGGCTCCAAGCGTCGATTTTTTTCGCCTGCATTCGACCTGCTTCCCGTCTGCAAAAGATTGATTTTAATGTATATTTTGTATTATCACAGTCGGATATCACTCTTAGACACCCCTTGAATAATCTAATACACCCAGATCCTTCTTAATTCCTAATTTTTTGACTTCGAAAGGTCCTGGTCCAACACTAAATGGATATCATTCTTAGATGCCCCCATGAAGTATCTAATACCACAGAGCTTCCTTAACTCACTTTTCGACTCCGAAAGGTCCTAGTCCTGGTGGTATCACGACTTTTGCGCCTTGAACATTTGCGCCGCGACTTATGCGCCGCGACTTTTGCGCCGGGCGACTTTTGCGCCGCGACATATGCGCCGCGACTTTTGCGCCGGGCGACTTATGCGCCGCGACATATGCGCCGCCATTGTTTAAAAAATCCGGATCCGAAAAATGCCGGATATCCGAAATTTTCAGTTCGGATATCGGATCCGGATATCCGAAGATTTCCAACTATCCGACAACCCTACTAAAGTGAGGTCCGGCTGTAGTTATTGATATATTTTTAATGATAGTGGCGGCGCAAAAGTCGCCCGGCGCAAAAGTCGCGGCGCAAATGTTCCCCGGCGCAAAAGTCACTCGGCGCATAAGTCGCGGCGCAAAAGTCGCGGCGCAAAAGTCGCGGCGCAAATGTTCTCGGCGCAAAAGTCACGGAACCGTCCTGGTCCAAGCTATCCTGATCCAGATATTTTTCAACAAAGTCAGCTCTCCACGAGGTGGCCGGTTAAAGTAAAAAAACGTCCTAAATTAAGCTTTAGCTAATTCTGGGGGTATTCTAGAATGATATTCGACTGTATAACTTTACTTATTCATTTGTAATTTCCTAATTGCATGTCTCCATTTCGAACGGGGTGTCAATGTTGTCTGTTGAATATTATCGCCACTAGTCTGGCTCCCTACATTTGGTGTTGTCGAAGTAAAAGACTCCCTTCGCTCCCCTGATCCAATATTTATTGGATCTAGAAGAGATGCCATTGCAGAAGCTCTCCGGGACAAAGGCCTAGAAATTGGTGGCTCGAGTCCTATTGCCGATTTAGTGGAGGAGCTTTCGACTTTTAATGGCACAGTGCTTTGTTTTCTTGATGTAATAATAGTTTGTGAAGAGTAGTTTGAAGAAAATAACGTAGAAACTGCCCTTTTCAGTTTATTTTGATCAGAGGAATATTGTGACTGTGACTAGAAATAAAATGATTAAGTTAATAAAATGATAACTTAAAGGACACCTCTAAAGGCATATCCCTTATTGTAGACCCTTGAAATAATAAAGCTTCACAACTAAGCTCAGGTTTTGCCCAATTGGCAAGTCTGGCTGCCTCTCGTTGATCAACAGCATTTCTTTGTTTTGACTGTACTTCTTTTCTTACTTCATTATTATTCCTTTCATTTTCTTCCTCTTCATCTTCACTTTCGTTACAAACAATAAGTGGCACGTTTGAGAATGGACTTTGAATGAGCTTTTCATGCCGATTTAAGTTTTTAGTGGAAAGAAGTTGAAGTTGAGGGGAATTTCCCCAGCCATGACAGGAATTTGGTGTTGTTGCCTCCTTTTCTATTGCTACGAGTTTCTAAAAATGAGCTCCTCATTTATTGTGCTCATATTAAAATTAAATACAGCCGGCCCTCACTATATGATACACCCAATTTATTATTGTTGTTACTTGGGTTTTGCGTCATATCCATGTGCATATTCTTACCCCCAGTTTAAGAGGCCGTTGGAAAACTCCTTTGGGTAATTTTTGAATTTTTAAACCTCAAAGGTTTATCCTATAATGAGGTTCGACAGCATTATTTAGTCCATACTTTAGCAGACGATCGCTTCCTATTGGTACAAAAATTATTTTCTTCTTTTCCACTATTCCCGTCGCAAACTTTTCCTTCTTCAATATCTAGCATTTGCCTTTTTAATCTGTTACTTTTCCAATTACGCCAAAATGAGGATTTTGTTTTTGATTCTTCAGATTTAGTCCAAGATTGTTCCTTACTCTTTAAAAACAAAAAATAAATTTAAAATTCGAGTAATTCTCCAACCAAAATTAAACGTTTATGTTTGCAAAATTGATGAAGGATTTTGTAAAGGAAAGCAACACAACCAGATTTTGAGTGTCCATTTTCTTCCTTTTCATCAAGAAGACCGGCTGCTGCCATAGTTGCTTTAATTGAAATTTAATTATAATTCTAAAAATGATTTTTAACAGCGAAGGGGTGAGATAGCAAAAAAATAAGCTGAAACTAAGAAGCAATAAAAGACAAAGCTGAGGGTTTTTTTAAATTTTTGTTCTCACTGTTTTGTATTTCTTCAGATTCTGTCAAATCATCGGACATATAATTTGCTTTATTAAAAAGAATTAATTTGCTAGTTATTAAAAAGAACCCTACACCCTACCCCCAAATCGGAAAGTTATAGGGCCTCTTTTTCCTTTTGTAAGCCTGATACCGTTATCCGATTATTTTTCAAAAACCACATCCTACATAATCTTTCTTTGTAGCCTCTCAAAAAACTAAAAAAATCACCATTTCGCTGAGTGTAGTTTACGATAGTAAATTCTATTAGGACACCAAAAACAAATCTATAAAATTAAAATTTAATTAGATATTTCCTTTCAAGCTACACAAACTAACAATACACTGACGGCTAAAAATAAATCCAAGCTTTTCATGTAGCTGACTTCAGGTAAGGAATTCTTGACTGAATTAGCCTGAGTAGAGAGTGTTAAAAGGGTGGTGATTGCCAATGATACACGCGCTGGTACAGCCCAAAAAATTTTTATTTTTATCTGAGGTGTTAGAAATATAAAGTTACTTCTACATCAAGCCAAAAACTGAACCAACTGATGACCTATAATTAAAAATTAAATAGGCAGACCTCACTTAAATCCCTATATACAATGTATAAGTTATTTAAAATTTAGTTTGGCATTGGGTGAGAGAGCTACCTAAAGTAAAGCGACCGAATCCATCCCAGAAAATAGCAAAAGATCGGACGAGGTTTAATCCTGAGAGATCTTCGATGTATGCTCAACCCTCCCACCACTGACTAATCTTTCCATTTTCGCTTTAGTTCTAGTAAAGGAGGAAACTTTGTTGTCCTTACACTAAGTGACCTCCTATTTAAAATAAACTAATCTAGGTAATTATAACTTACAACAATTAATGTTGTTGGCACATATGTTTGTAAGATATGATGAGTTAATTCTCGTGACACAAAAAATTCTGCAGTAACGCAGCTCCAAACACCTGTACTATAATTTCCATCACAAGTTCCTGGGACAAGTTTAACGATATCCATATCACTCATCTTTACAATTTAGTAATTATAAGAAAGGAAAGGGTGCTTGTAAACATACAGTTATATTCACATTTTTGGTAATAGGTTCCTGATCAACCCATTCGATTTTTAAATGATGAATGTCATATGCGTCTAGATTGGAAATTATTTGATTTTTAGAAATTAAGTATAACAAACAGCTAAGAATTCGTAGATGACACCACTGTGAATCTAAGGGGAAATTCTTCAGGTTCATAGCACATATTACAACCATAGAAACACGGGTATCGTAAAGAATTGATCCATCTGGATCAATCCAAAGTAAAAAATTGGGTTGTGTAACCTCGTGAAATTGAGCGATACGTGCACTAAATGATAAAAAGTATATTGTTTGGAATTAAAAGGAAATCAGGGCAAGATAAGATTCCAATTCTTAAGCTTCTTGAGGAAGGCGGGAATTCTTTGGTTTGCTGTCCCTGATTCCTCCTAGGTTTTCAATTTGTTACATTTTCCATGTCCCGGCCCGTGTTCTCTCATTACTCTGATCTCTCAATTAATAACATAATTATAATATATTTATACTTTGCAAAATAAACATCTGGGTGCCAAATCCGATTGAGAATTGCTCGGTCACGAATAAGAATTCGACTTGTTGAAATAAAAATTTAAAAAATTTAGGAGTCCTTAAAACCTTTTTTCGTTATGAGCCAGTCTAGGATCCTTCCAAAATTGCTGTAGATATACATCCAATTGAAAGTCCTACAAAAATTCAGTAATATCCACAGAAATATAAATTTTAAACAAAAAATATTACCATTGTGTGGGTTCGGAAGGAGCCTATACCTTCAATGTAAATGGCCAATTTAACATTTGTTGGTAATCCTAAATTAGTTCAAAGAAAATAAATTTTCGTCTCTGGAACTTTATTCTCCTGTTTTCCGGAACCAGCGGGTTTATTCGCAAAGTATTTAAAACTTTGATAAATAAACCACCTTGGAAACCTAATTTTTTATTTGAAAGTGAATATTCCAGCGAGGACAAAATTTCTTGAGTTAATATAAAATAAATAAATAAATAAAATAAAATAATTACCCAGGGTACTTATTGTTTCAACCTCTCGCTGTAGGTGATAGGGAAGGGGTAATTATTTTTTCGACCTCTGGCTGAAGGGGGTAATTAATAGGGCGGGAGTAACTATTTGAGAGAGGGACATTATTTCAGCATATACGGTAAATATCATTTTTTTAACTTATCTTACCAATATTTTGTGTTGGTGTTGATTGCCTGTCATAAACCTTTTTGGGGTAAAATAATAATTTTTGAAAAATAAACCTGTCTCCCAGCACTCAACATTTCATCCATATGTAGAGGAATAGGAACACTTCTAAGTTGCTGTTTTTGTTGGGCATTTAATTTGGAAATTAAAAGGAATAACGTGAACAAGAAACAACAATTGTTTGTTTTAGGCATTGCTTTCAAAAGAAGTTTAATTGAAGAGGTACTTGTCTGCATGATTTTTTAAGTTAAATCGTTCAGTAACGGTTACAAAATCCCAAATCCAAATAGATAATAGACTGAACACGAAAAAACACGTGTACTTGTCTGCCTGATGTAATTTAAAATTTTTCTCGAATGTTAGGAATGTCTTTCAATTGTCCTTAAGGCAAAAGAATAAACGTGCACTTTAATATAATTGAGCAATTATTTGTTTATTCTATACCAGCCATTTTGTAAAATTAAAAAAAAATTTTTTGTCTGAGCCTTTATAAAAAATAAATTCTTTTTTTTCTGAGAAATTGACATTAGAAACCCTTTAAAAACTCTCAACATGCAATTTCCTAACAAAACTCATGTTAATCCAATTGAAGCTCTCGTTGAGGAAAGGTAAGAGAGAACCTTTTCTATTTTAGATTGCTTTTCCCTTTCATTTCCTTTTGTATGTAAAAATGAAAACAAGGCGGATATATCGTCATCAATTGATATTTTATTTTTAAAAATAGTCTCGTGGTCTTGGATTTTTAAGTAAAAAAAGGAAGATATTTAAATAGTTAAAGGGGAAGGATATAAAAAATGGGGGGAGGAATAATCCATTTTTACGCCTCTGGCATCTTAATGTTTTTACTATGTTCTCACGTCGATTAATTAAATGAATAAAATTTAAAATTAACTACCAATTAACTACCAAATTATTGTCCTTCAATAGGTAGCTCTCGTTATTGCAAAAAACGACTGCTAAAACTGCCAAGAAGAAGTATTTTAGGATTGAGAAATTCTAGCTTTTGCACAAGGGTGACTATAATTGTCAAAATCTTCGCCTGCAGCGCTAAAGAGGAGGATTTAGAAATCCAGAAAATTTTATCAAGGCTAAGAAAAAGTATAGAGGCTAGGAGAAAATTACGTAAATGTTCGGGATATTGGATTGACAATCATACTCTGATACATTCTCGAGAGGATTTTGAGGAATATCATAGGATATGGAAGGATGTCGGGGATATTAAAAGGATTTTTGACTTTAACTTTTATGGCAAAAATGAAAAATTAAGTTAAATCCATCAATTCTAAGAAAATTAATAGTGATCAGTCGTCAATGAAGATCAGTCGTCAATGAAGCGATTTTTATTTTGTATTTTTAAGAAAATTTCTTCACAAAATTTTTTGCCCTTTTCGATGGAAATAGAAAACCCGATAATAAGCCAAAAATGAATAAATTAATTTCAAAATTTTATCAAAAATTTTAAATTTCCAAGTATTATTTTTGTTTAATTAATATCAAATAGACAAAGTAATTTAACAAATTATTATTTTAGTAATTAAACAAACGGGCTTTAATTAACACTTTTATTCGTCTATTACATTTTTATGTGTTCAATCGGTGACTACAACTGCGGATGAGACAATTCTTGACGACGATTGCGGATATGGCAGCATTTGTGGACTACAATTCCTTTTCTCTGTTTTTTAATCCCGGCTCTCATTTTCTGACTTCTTCGGCACTAAAAACTAGTGTTATTCAAACGCGATTTTTCGGTATCGGTATCGGTATTTTCGGTAAAATACCGATACCGAAAAAATACCGATTTTGTTAAAATTGTTCGGAACCGTATTCGGTATCGGTATTTCGATAAAAATACCGCGGTATTACCAAAAAATACCGCGGTAATACGGTACCGTGAATAACACTACTAAAAACTTTAAAAAAAACTTAATTTTTTTTAAATTCTATATCCGCAATTGTCGTCTTTATTCAGAATCTTTTATTTCTTCAATTCATTCATTCTTCAATTCAAACATCGGTAAAATATCAACACGATATATAGTTACCTCCTTATCTCTATATTCTCCTTCAAAAATAACCATATCTCCATCTTTATATTCTGTATTTTCTGTTCCAAAAATTTTAATACGAATAGATTTTTTAAATTCTTGCAATATTTTCCTTTCATAAATATTTCCAAAAATTTTTCTTGAACATTTTTCTTTATTTATTTCCTCAATATTAACAAAAAACTGAATTGCATGTTCTAAGCGAGTATAACTATAAATATAAATGTATTATCAAAAGTTAAAAAAGTGGAAAATTATCAAAAGTTAAAAAAGTGGAAAATTTTTTTAGTAAAAGAAACGAATAATCAAATTAGATTAAAAATTTTTGTCAGAAATCAATTTTAACCCTTAAAAATTTTCTTTAGACAAAATTCATTCATTTTTCAATTCAAACATCGGTACGATATCTACACTATATATAGTGTAGATATTTTTATCTAAATTTTTTCCTTCAACCACAAGCATCCCTCCATCCTTATATTTTTTATTTTCTGTTTCAACAATTTTAATTCGAATAAATCCATTTAATTCTTTCAATATTTCCTTTTCATAAATAGATAAATTTATAAAAATTTTTCTCAAACATTTCTCTTTATTTACATCTTCAACTTTAACAAAAAATTGAAATGAACGTTTTGAGTAACCATTAATATAAACAAAATATTTTCCAATTTCGTTAAATTTGAAGCAAATTTCCAAAAAAGGATTTTTTGGTTCTTTCCCACTAATTTCGTTTAATTTTAAATTTTTAAAAATATTTTTGCTCATTTTTTCTTTTTTCCAATTTAAATTTAAAAATAAATAAAATTTTGTTAATTTAATTTCAGACATAAATGTAGATTCCATTAATTTTGCCTCGATTCCATTTAATTTTATAATATTTTTTACTTGTCTCATAATATCTATAAAATCTCCAAAAGCATCACTTTCTTGCGCGTTATTTTCGATTAAATAATTTCCATTCTCATCTCTTATATTAATTCCTATTAAACCATTAAAAACAGGTCTAATTTTAGCAAGTGCCTTAAAAAATTTATTTGTTGATATTTAATTTAAATTTACCTATTTTAATTTCGATCAGGTTTCCAATAAAAAGGTTTACTAGGAAAAAATCCCGTTGGGGTGTTCTACAACATATAATGGACGGAACATTTGGCAGGTGTCCGGAAATTTCGGCTCTCGAATGTTGGGCTATAATCTATTTTTAGAACCAACGTTGGGTATACACTAGTGATGTTCGAGTATCCCGACACCCGACTCGAGAAATTTCCCGAGTTTTTGGCCTCCCGATTTCGATTCCCGATGTCATTTCCCGACTAAGTCAGGAAATTTTTACACCCCTAAGAATGGATTTAATTAATTAATTTTTTTACTTCTTTTTTTGTTCCATCATTCAAACAAATATCCAATCCATATCTATATTTATCCATAACCTTTTCATCTAAATAAATTATTTTTTTATTTATTATATCTTTTTTTGTATAAATTCTTTCAGCAAACATCGCTGCAAGTTTACAAAAATTTGAAGTATGTTTATTGCTAATTAAAGCTGATTCTGTTAAATAAAGTTTATCCTCTTCATTTAATATTCCATTAATTTCAATTTCAATTTTTAACAAATTTTTATTCTAAAAAATAAATTAGTAATTTTCTCGAGTTATTAAAAATTAAAACATACTTCTTCTCCATTATCTTTAATAAATTCAATATTTATTAAATTAATTTTAATTTGTTTTTCATTTTCTTTTGTATATTCAACAAAAATATTTTGGTTATTTTGAATATTATTTGAATTAATTAAATTAATAAATAATATTAAAAATAAATAAATATTTATTTTTAAATTCATTTTTTTAAAAATAAATTTATTTAAAAATATTTACCAAGGAGATAATTATAAATTAATGTCAGGCAATTATTTAAGAAATATAGCAAGATGAGGGTAATGGCAATAATGATTAGTGATCGATAATTTTGAATAACTCGCTTAAAATTTTACTTTGAATTCGATTTTTTTGCCTGATAAAAAGGAGAGGCAGGCCTTTGCACTCTTAATTATTTCTTAATTTTTTTAAGATGTTACCGGCGTGTTGCACTTTTTGTTTATTATTTTAAATTTATTTTTAAATTAAAGAAAAAATTTATAGAATTATGAAATCCTGGATAATAAATAAAATAATAAAAATAGTAGAGTTCAGCGGTATCGGGAGTTAGAGAAAAAACTGGATCGGGATTTGCATCAAGATCTGATGCACATCCCGATCCAGAATCCCGACACAGGGTCGGGATTGACCGAAATCGGGATCTGGATGTGAAAAATGGTGTGAAAAATTGATGTGAAAACCCCGGGATAGTCCCGCCCGATCCTGACCGGGATACCGATCCCGCTGAACTCTAGAAAATAGTCAGTTAAGCATTTATAGGTTCTGACACTTAATGCTTCTTTTGCACATTTCAAGCTTAAATCTTCAATTTTAATTGAAGAATTCTCAA